CCCCCCCCCCCCCCCCCCCCGACTTCATTTTCCACCGAGGGCTACGTTATTTCGTCGTACCATAGTTAAATCTTTTTTATTTGATTAATATTTATATGTAAGTGAATTAATGTATTACGTCAGCTATCAATCAGATGTGTACACGCCATACACACAAAAAAACACAAACGAAATCGTTAGAGACGCTGTTAATATATTTACCGTAAGGCTATTTACGCACTGTGTAGCTCGCGACTCGATGCCGACGCGCATGCAAATTCATGTTGACGTTGATCTCTTCCGCGCGATCTGTTCCTATTCGTATGAGATTTCTCGAGAAATTATTAATCCGTTAATGTCTCTTTCGAGAAGCTAAAAATCTAATTGGAAAAAAAACAAAATTTACAAAAGAATCTGAAAAAAAATCACAAATAATATCGGATATACTAGCACAGTTAGAGAGAATTAGAAAGATTCCAATTCGTAAAATTATATTCCTTCTTGCTTGAAGACGTTAACGAGTTAATCCGATTAATGGCACGTTACGTGCATCTCGCGTGCATTATAGAGATCTTTGATCGAAATCAATACGTGTGTCCCGACGTGATTTATAATCGCATCCCGAGGTCTACATCGAAAATGCAGACGTTCATTAAGCTCATGTTATTGCGCGAATTCGTGATCGAACCACGTTAAATCATTCGAAAGCCATTTTAAGGCTTCTATTACATCAGAAGTGAAAAATAGTATTACCTCCCGCTTTTATTCGATAGAATAAATTGATGAAGTACACGCCCAAATCTCTTTTTATGAATTCTGCATTCATGACAAGTAATTCTGTCTATACATTTGTAATTTTAAATGTAAATCTCGCAACATCCGATAAAACTTAGCAGCTTTTATTTTGTGAATCAAAGTCTTGAATAAATTTCACAAGCTATTTTATCAGATAAAAGTAGTGGTATGTAAAAAGTTGGAACTCTTTCATTGCAAATATATTGTAAGTATTGTGTAAAGCATATGTAATGAATTTTCACGTCTGATGTAATCCGATATAATTACAGTGACGAGCCAGGAGCCGTAAATATTATCTAGCAGCGAGAGGATCGGCGTTAAAAGCGACATTTTCTCGTTTACTGTTGTATATTTTAAATGTTCTATGTTGTCTCATGGATTGTTAAATTATTTAACATTTAAATTATTTTATCTACCGATGGCGAATCGGTACATATATAGATATATACATAATTAGCAACAACGTAAATGTCAGTTGCAATTTGCAATTGCGGACGTCGAGAAACCCGTCGACCGTGGTATTTATTATTAAGCGAAGCATCGTCGAGGCAAAACGAGCCGCAATCTATATCTCCTGTAAAGTGCGCTAGGTTTATAGTACGACAAGCGAAACAAAAAAATGAGGTACAACGTCAGAAAATTAAATAATTTATTATGCACAACATCGTATTCGGATCAAGTATGATACAATGAAGTCATTTTCCCTTTCCGAATCCGTGTAATGCGGCTGATGCACATTCCATGCGCGCGCGCGCGAGCAAGCATGTGGGCGTGCGCGCACGAATGCGAAAGAAAACAAGTCTCGACCACCTAAAGAGAATCCAACGAGAACAGGGTGACTCTAACGTCGAAAGGAGCACCGTCGCACCACACACGGTGCATGGACACTTGTTAAAATTAATTATAAAATCACTGCACGCGATGAAAAGGACCGATGATGATACGCCACTCATTGCGCAAGATATGTCCACTTCATCTTCGTTCTTCTGTCTTCATCCCCAAACCCAGACGTCTTCAACAAACGGTCCCATCCATCGATATTTCGGGAAACAATCCGGCTATTTCTTCTTCCTTCTTCCCTCTGTCTGATTTCTACCGATTTTTCTTGGGCTTGTCCGGGAACTAACACTTATCGCGGACCAGGAATGCTCTGTTCTGAGAAGAACATTTCTCGAGCACGAACAGCATGAACGTCATTACAGTGTCTTCTCAAACGCGACTCGTGTCTCCGAATTCATGAAACAAAATCCTTATCCGCGTTCTCTTTGAAGTACCCTTCTTCAAAGCGAGAGCTAGCTTGCGTTGCGGCTCGGTTGAGTTGTTTTGCATGTAGTAATACTTAAAAGAATATTTGGAAAATCGATCAAACACCGTGGCAGTGAAGCGTGCGTGTGCATCACGCTACAAATGATTGAAAAGGAGAGAGCAGTCATCTTGTTAACGAATCGTCCCGAGTCGACAACGAATGAAAGATGGGCTTTTTTCTTATTGTTGCGAAGACCGCAGATTGTACCGTTTGCGTTGTGAGTATGATCCTTGACGTTATACCGAGCTTTTTTCTCATCTAATCTTTTTAGTGAGGTAGCGCTGAATGTGAACGGAAACGATTATCCGTCCCGATTTTTGTACAATTTCCAGGAGCCCCCGGTGAGAGATCCGCATCTATGTCCTCTTGAGATTATATACAATTGCGCGCGGGGGAACTGAACGAGGGAGCGTGTATGTACAAATTCACAGTCGAAGTCCCAAGCTTTCGATTATTGCATCCGACGGTGATAAAATTGCGCCACCGCCGTGGGACGATGATCTGAAGATCGTTTGCGAGAGATAGAGCCAGCACACACACGGGGCTTTCGAGAGCGAGGGAAATTTACGGAAACAATGCGTACCCCCAGCGAAATGGAACATCTATCTAAATATTTGTATATATGCATATGAGTCACACAAGCGCACATATGCCGGAAACATATGCATATACACGTAATACGACACACGTGAGATTTATGCACCGTACGCGTGTGTGTATGTATGTGTATGTATGCATGAATGTGTGTATGTGGCCCTTCTTTTTCACGTGTTAAATTATCTTCCGCCACAAGGGGTAAAGGTAGGACAGTAGAGTGGCGTTGCCTTCTACCAACCACCTAGACTACCACTGCTTGCCTTGCAGTCGATTTGCTGTCGAGCGAGATCAGCGTAAACCAAACCGAACTCGCTGACAAATTCATAAAACTTGTCCAAAGAATCAAAGGCCAATTCTGCTACGACGAAATGAACCGCCAAATTTTGCCGGTAGCTAAACAGCAGAAGAAATGCAAACGTTAGATAACAGCCGCATATGGTGATACAACAGTGAATACATAAAACAGAAAAAAAAACAATTAAATATGCAATTAACTTTCAGCTACGATGTCCTGTAACAGAAATCTGCAATTATAGTTCATGTGGTCCATATTTCTTCATAGATATCATTTGTTAAAACATAGCGTTGATACAAATAAGCTATTCTCCAAATCTTCTGTTTATAAAAAATTAGTTAAGAGATTGTATACTTTCTATCATATTAATGAAATGATATAATTGTGTATATATATATATATATA